TTCAGTATGATCTAGCAGGATCCTTATATTTCTTTGCCTGCTTGGATATTTTAAAAATGATGCTTTTGAATTTAAAACATTTGCAAGGTTTAAGGAAGAGTGCCTTTTCACTACTGTTTCAAGACTTCTGATTTTTCTTCTCATAATCCTTGTTACCAATATTGAAAGGTATTTGGTTAATGGATGTTAACTGTGATACTTTAACTAAAGTTGAACCTAGAATCTTTGTTGGAATTGTAATTTGTATGTAAATAGACATTCAACTGAGTTTGCCAGGAAATTAATTTTTATATTTTCTCCAAAGGTTTTTAAGAATAGAAAAGTCTAAAGTCGGTTTTTTTAAAGACTTAAGTAGCATCTGAGCTGTAATGAATGTTGGATGTACCTTATAAATTGAATAAAGTCAGGATCAGTGACTCTGGTGTAATTTTCCAAATTGTGGTTGTTTTCACAGGATGCTTTTGCAGACATCCAGCATTAGCTACACCTCCTCATTTAATTATTTAAATAGGAAAATATAACACCAGTATTGTTTAAAGGCTTCTGAATAAAACAGAAGACTTCCTAGGATTGTTTGAAAGTTCATAATGTACAAACCTTGTTGAAGCAAAGTATGTTTTATTTTTATTTTATTTTTTATTTGGTTTGATTTCTGTAGCTGCCCATCTCAAGTGACTGGGTAGCATGCATTGTAAAAGCATAAAACAATTTAAATCAATATAAAAGAAATATATATGAATGCAGAGTAAAATTATTGGCATGGATATTAATATAGCTAAAAAATGATCCCTTAACATTCCCAAGGGCCCGGATCTAGGCACAAAAGACCAATAAGACCTTGGTCATCCTAATTTCTGAGGAAAGAATGTTCCAGATGGCAGAGAAGGCAAGACTGCTCCCTGTCAGCTGACATTTCTAGGAATACCTGTTACAGGCCCAACATGCCTGATAGAATTGGGCGGGTAGAAACAACGGGGAAGACTACCCTTTAGGTAACCCAGCCCAAGCCATGAAGGGCTTTAAAGGTGATAACCAGCATCTTTTATTGCAGTCCAGTTGGTGAATGGAAAATTGTCAAATAATGTTGAGCTATGTTAATTTTAGGATCTTATAATACTTAACTTAATGTAGTGTTTGTCATCTCTTCCATAAGTTGGGAAAATTTTATTACCTATGATGCTCCAAATACAACTATTCTAAATACCATATCATATCCTGACTGGCAGTTTGCCCTAGCTGATGTTCCGTGACATCTGATCCTTTCCTTATGGAATGCTAACTAGAAAAGTTTCAGGGAATTAATACGGTAAAGGCAAAAAAAAACAACCTTGGAGTCAAGGTTACCTTCTCTGTAAGGTAAACATTGTCTTCTCAATTTCTGGATCCAGATAAAGACTAGGGCAGTGTTGGTGAACCTTTTCTGCACCAAGTACTGAAACACAGAGCACTGGGAACCAGAAGAGCAGCTCCCCGGTGCACATGTGCACGCCAGGAAGCTGAGCTGTTTTCCGGCACTCGCGCATAAAGACCAGGTGGCTGGCACGCTTGTGCGTGCTGGAAACTGGAAGCTCAGCTTCACAGTGCACACATGTGTCCTCCAGTGCCTGGCATTCCCACTTGGTGAAGACCAGCTGGTTAGCATGCATGTGCACGCCAGAACCCGGAAAAGCAATGGGCAACAGTGGGTGTGCCCAGAGAGATGGCTTTGTGTGCCACTTCCGGCACGTATGCCATAGGTTCACCATCATGGGCTAGGGAGTTCAAAAATACATGGTTATTTGGGTCATGGTCCTAAACAAATTCTAGTTTTGTTAACATAAGTAAAATAGTCCCAAAGGTGCTTTTTTTTTCTTTGAAGATGTTTTCTTTCTCCCCTGAGAAGCTTCTTCAGCAGTAAGTAGAGGTTTTTAAATACCACAGCACATACATCTATTGGAGAATCAATTCTATTTTTTTTCACCGCCTCATTCATTAGAAAAATGATAAAAAGTGTATGCTTGAAGGATTTCAATTCAGTTTGCAGGACTAGATTAATAAATCTAGTCATGGAATGTTATGCTTAAATGTGAAGCAACAAAGCTACCTTATGGGTTTCTGCCTGCTAAACATTGTGATTCCCCTTTTATTCTGGCACTTGTGACATTCTGAAGGCCGGGATAATCTTATAGTTGTAAGGTATAGTTGGTGCTTCAAGTAACTACAATATAATAAGTGAGTCTAAACCAGTCTTTAAAAAAAAAGAATCTATTCTGAGCATTCTGCTATTTCCTAAGAAGCTGGTACCTTTTTTTTTATTGTTTTACAATAAACATTTCTAAAAATCAAGCATTTATCTTTCTGTTCTTTGGATAGATTGTACATAGTTTTATTGCCATCAATTAGCTCATCTTCAGATGTGGCCAGGTTGCCAGCATGCCTCCCTTACTCCCATTATAAGGTGCCCAGTCACCTTGAACCGCGAGATTGGCAGCATATGAAATTAATAACTAAAATGCCTCACTAACCATTCTTAAAAGACATATTCATGAGGATACATCATCTCCATTGCCTCCATTTCATTACAAACATGTTTGTCTTGAGCTAGTCTGACATTTAGATAACATTTTTCATCTGACACAAGTCTTGCCGTATGATTTTGCCTTTGATGCCTCTTTATTTTATGGAAATATGGAACAGAAGAACACTTAGATAAGTCTTCACAAATGTGTCTCCCTAATTGGCTTGAAAACAATGAAGCAGGAGCCTCTTCGGTTTACCTAGAAGTCTTACCTGCAACCTGTATATCCTAATGTGACTGTTGCAATTTTTCAGCATGGGATAGGGCTGGTGATGTTACTATCCTGTGAATAAGCTGAAACCTAATGGAATTCTATTAATACCTGCTAGGCTGCTGTGATACTTTCTTTGTGATTATCTGCACCCACAATGTCAGCATGCAAAAGCCTCATAGCAGCCATAAATAGTTCTTCCTATTGTAAGTGTGGCTTTGGGAAATAATTCTGAAATCCAACTGTGGGCAAACATTTGTGAACCTTTTAGAAATATTTGCAATTCTGCAGAACTATAATCTGTGGTGTGATCAGGGCTTCTTAAGTTTTATTAATAGATGCAAATGTCTTAATGTGTACCATGTCTTTATTGAACATATTAAGTCAACATTAACTCTTCTTGTAAAAATATATATAAGAAGCTCTAGGATTAATAACACGATGTATTGAGATAGCTATTCCAATTTATGGGATGAATTTGAGAAGTTTTCCTCTCAAAAAGCCATTTCCTTTGAAGTCTGTTTTTTATCATGCAGATTTGAGGAATGACTCATGCCTCTGCAAACCTCTGAAAAAGGGTTGTTGGTGCTCAGGAGGCTAGAAAGGCATTAAAGGTTTTCCCTGTCCAATCATGACTGATTCAAGGGGGCAATGCTCATCTCCAATTGTCTGCTGACAGAGCCTGTGTTGTCTTGAGAAATGCTTCTGTCATCACATGGCCAGCATGAAATACAAAATGCAAAGTAATTTTCCAGAATGAAGCAGAATCTTATCTGTTTACATTTGCATGCTTTTGAACTGCTAGATTGGCAGGAGCTGGGGAGAGAATGGGAGCTCACCCCGTATACAGTGCTTGAGTCTCAAACACAGACTGTCAGTTACAAAACTTATTGTCTAAGATTTTTGCCTTCATCAATCCATAGGAAGATAGTGGTCAATTTTTTTAAAAAAATGTTAGTTTTCCCAGGTGTGGTCCAACAAAAATCCCTCCAGATGGGAAGATCATAAGGAACCCCAGAGTTATAGGAAAGGATTTGGAGTTCTTAATTATCTAAAGTCAGTGTATATGAGTGCACTTTAGGTATAATAATGAACAATAGTGTTCATGAAAGTATACCGAGAATAGTGTTCTCCAGCAAGCAAACTGGCACCCACCTCGTTTTTTCCAACAACTACCTGGAGGGTATACCAAGCTAATGGAACAGTGTTCTGTGGACTGAGGAGACAAAAGGAGTACTTTATGGAAATAATGAAAAATATGTGGCAAAACTGGAATGGAATTCCAACAAAAGAACCTCATCCCAACCAAGGAGCATGGAAATGTACTGTGGCTTGGAACTGTTTTACAGCCACGACCAAGAAAACTCAAAGCTATTGAGAGAACAATGGCTTCTGGATTGTACCAGCATATTCTATATAGCAGGGGTGTCAAACTCGATTTCATTGAGGGCCGCATCAGAGTTGTGATTGATCTTGGGGGTGGTGTGTGTGTGTGTGTGTGGCCAGTATGGTCATGGCCAGGGTGGATGTGGTCAGCTCAATGTCACTCGTGTCAGGGCACCTGTGGTGGCCTAAGCCCTCTGCCAGCAAAAACGGGCTCCTGAGCTCCATTTTTGGCTGCGATAGTTTCCTACAACCCTCTGCTAGCAAAAAAGGAGCTCCAAACTCTGTTTTTGCTGGCAGATACACCATGGGCTGGTCCTTTACTGTTTCCAGGGCAGCCTGGCAGGCCAGATCTAAGTACCCCGCAGGCTGGATCTGGCCTGAGGGCCTTGAGTTTGATACCTCTGTTCTACAGGATAATGTCAGCACTGAAACTCCAGTAAATATAGGTTACATAGGATGGCATAAACTTGTAGCGTGAAAGGATGGGGATTTCACCCCATCTGCCCCAGAAGTACTCTGGGCCTACTTTTTTGAGCTGTGCTTCCTTGGCACAAAAGCTTGGTAATTACTGCTGCCACCATTATTCCCCATAATAAGATCTCACTTAGTGTCTTGCCCCTGAATCCAGCTATGTCTGAGAGACAGGGCTCTCAGTGCCTTTATCACTTTCTTTCCAATTCCTTTCATTTGTGTCTCTTGGTCATGTAGCTTTGTGGTTTGTGGCTAGGTAAATCAGCTTTTCTTATCCCTCCCTTTTGGGCAGTAGACCAATCTCACAAGAAACAGAATCAAATTTTATTATTTCCTTTTTGAAAATGGAATGACAAAATGTAGGCGCAATATGATAAATTTCTTCTGGGTGTCACTTAGATTTCACTCTAAGTTAAAAAGCAGCATATAATAAAATTGAAGTTTAGTAGAAAAGCACATGAGAGGCAGGAGAACCCCCCAAAAGATGTGGGTATTCAATATGCTCAATGGATGGGGGAATATTGGCTGATGTTGGTAGCAGGATGAAAGAAGAAAATGGAATGGAGTATCCAGGAAAAAAATATACCTAGAATTCTAAGCATTAATTGTGGCAGCTTCCACTCATAGTTTGGTTTGGACACCATTTTGTATGTATGTTAAATAAGAATAGCACAGAGACCAAAAGTTTGAAAGAAAATTAGGCGTTGGTACTGTGAACCAAAATATCCCATGTGATGAAGAGGTAGCCTGAATCCAATATAATATTTTGAAACGTAACTTATTTGAATAGCAATAACAGCAAAAAAAAAAAAAAAAAGATACTGGGCTTACATCATGAATCAAGTTCTTCCTTTTATTATACAGGATGTTATGTACAAATCCCCCTCCCCCCATTTCTTCCATTCTTCAGTCCTGCATTTGTTCATAGCAAAACAAAGTCTAGGAAGCATTTTGAAAATAGCTAGAGATGCCAAAGTGACCAAACTTTGCAGGATAAGCTAATAGAGAAGAGCCAAAAGAATAAAGAAAAAAAAGAAAAACAATGCTTGCCTGCTTTGTAACTTGTATTTTCAACAAAGAAATTGTTGTAAATTACTGTGCTTTGAGAGACGCAATCTTCTGTTACTATGTCCTGAAGAAAGGTTGTATATCTTCCAGTAGAAATCCTTAGAAGGGTAGGATCAGTTCCTCTGAATTTGGCCCATATGAAAATGTGATTCTCACCCTTTCCTGAAGTTGGAGTCTGAAAGTTTGGATTACCCTGCTAAGCAAACAACGCTCCATCTATTTTTGAAGTTGGCAACTAGGAATAAACCATCTTACAGTATTGTACAAAGAAGGGAACCTTGAAGGAAAAAAAGATAATGAAGGATAATACAATTTTGTAGTAGGTTTCAGTTTAATAAATCACAGAACATGTTTTGTGTTTCTTAGTATGGGCTGGTTGAAAGTATTTCCATTTTAGAAAAATGGTCAATAGGAAGAAATATTTTTTTCTTCTGCACTTAGTTTTCTTGTAATTAAAAAGAAATCAGGACATACTGTGCTATCTATCTCTTCAATTGCCTTTGCTGAGACTCCTAGAACTAGCTCCTCTGACCCTTTGCTATGAAAAAGTGTAAATTATGTTTTGGAACCTTATTGGCTGCATGGCTGGGTCATAAAGTGAATATTTCATTTAAAATTCTTACCAAATGCTTGGATCAAAAATTCAAACTATGCATATTAGTTATTGTGCTGTATGTCCCAACTTTAGTCAGTGTTCCTTTCTGCTTTTGTAATTATTTGCCTTCTTAATCCTTAGGAAACTGGATGAAGAATTGTTTTACTCCTGGAAACAAAGGCCCGATAACAACCACTTTCATCTTTCTAAGTGATATCTCAGATAATAAGAATAGAATAGAATAACATAGTTGCAAGGGTCCTTGGAGGTCTTCTAGTCCAACCCTCTGCTTAGGCAGGAAACCCTACACCTCTTCAGACAAATGGTTATCCAGTCTCTTGTTAAAAACTTCCAGTGTTGGGGCATTCACAACTTCCGGAGGCAAGTTGTTCCACTGATTAATTGTTCTAACTGTCAGGAAATTTCTTCTTAGTTCTAAGTTGCTTCTCTCCTTGATTAGTTTCCACCCATTACTTCTTGTCCTACCCTCAGGTGCTTGACTCCCTCTTCTTTGTGGTAGCCCCTGAGATATTGGAACTTTGTTATCATGTCACCCCTAGTCCTTCTTTTCATCAAACTAGACATACCCAATTCCAGCAACTGTTCTTTATATGTTTTAGCTTCCAGTAATCATCTTTGTTGCTCTTCTCCGTACTCTTTGTAGAGTCTCAACATCATTTTTACATCGTGGCGACCAAAGCTGGATGCATTATTCCAAATGTGGCCTTACCAAGGCATTATACAGTGCTATTGACACTTTACATGATCTTGATTATATCCCTCTGTTTATGCAGCCTAGAACTGTGTTGGCTTTTTTGGCAGCTACAGTACACTGCTGGCTCATATTTAAATGATTGTCTACGAGACACACTGGCTTTAGCAGGCATGATCCGGATTTCAAATGCAAAACCATACATACATACTGTGGAACTGTACTCATTGCACATCATAGTACTTCCTGTCTCAAGAAAGTAGGTTTTCTACAGACTGTTTCCTTTCCTCCTTCTAGAAAGGAAAAGTTCTATTCTGCATCTCTTGATACAGTATCTATTTCAGTAGTGAATGCTGATTACAAGGCTCCCAGTTTAATACTAAGATTTGGGGGTAGGATTTGTATGTATGTATATGTGTGGGAGCAGTAATGATAGTCCATTGGGATGACTACTTTCCAGTGTCCTACAAAACTGCTTGGAAATATTGGTCCATGTGTCTCCTTTTGAATTCAGGGCAGCCCTTTGGGTCAACATTTGTCCAACAAAATGGCAGCCCTGTAGGTCAACATTTGTCCAGAAAAATATATCAAGAAAGATTCTAACTCTTTGTGGTACTCCCTTTTGTTGTTGTTGTGATATGCTAAGCAAGGAAGGAGGGGGAAATTATTTGGTTTACTATTTCAAATTTATATACTATATTTTCTTTGTATTAAATGTCAAGGGCAATCATTAATCTGTACAATGAGTACAGAAGGTTGACAAAAATATGATTATGTAGCCTGATGGCTATCAAGGGACAAAGAAAGACAACACTTCTGCTCGGTTAATCACTTGTAGGCCAAAGTTTCTTTTGCTATCTTTTCTGTAACTTCCCTTCTTCATCCTTTTCTGTTTCTTTTCATGTCAGCAGAAAGACAGCTGAGTTTCAGGACAATATCAGTAGGCTGATAGTATGAAAATGCAGGTAATTCCCCTTACATGCCTGTGGTACCTGATGCATGTTGCAATCCTTCTGTTCATCCACCACCATGAAGTTATAAATAGCATGGTACAAAGTAATACATGTTTTGTCAAGAAAAAAAACCTCTCCAAAAAGGAGAAAAGAAACTTAACCACGTGTTATTAAATCAAAATATGAATAATTAAATATTATTTTACACAATTCAATATGATATTGCTGTCATGAATGGAATCTGTACGTTTTAGAATATACCTAATTACTGTAGGCTGGAGTCTTCCACATACGTGAAATGGCTATTTTCCTGAAGAAGCAGGAAAGAAAAGAAAAAAGAGAAAAATCAATCCCAAAAGTATATATTTATACGTATCTGCTTAAAAGTGAAGTCCTTTTAAACTTGAAGAGGCATTCCTAAATAGAATTTGTAGGATTTTGTATCTTTTCCCTTAGATTGATAATTTAAGTATCAATAAAGATCAGGAAATGTATCAATGCACAAAGGAATAAAAGGGCATATATTTTAGTGGTGGGATTCAGCCAGTTTGCACCACTTCCGGAGAACCGGTTGTTAACTTTCTGAGTAGTTTGGTGAACTGGTTGCTGGAAGAAATCATTAGGACAGAGAACTGGTTGTTAAATTATTTGAATCCCACCACTGATATATTTGCATATTCTTTGGTTTATGCATGCTAATTTATTCTCTGCAAATCAACATTTTGCTATATTTTTTTCTATTTTAGATAGGAAGAATTGCCAGAGTTTGGATAGAAATTTGGTATTATAATAGGGAAACTAGGCAGCTTCTGTGCCTGTTTATTACATGTTTATTGATCTGTTTGATCTGTAATTTGGCAATTTTAAGGACCCTGCTCTCTTTAGCTTCACATCAAGCTGAACTAGGTAACCAAGCATTCATTTTTTAAAATATTATAACCTATCTTTTATCAAAAATTAAACTAGAACAATAACATAAGATAAGAATAATGATTGTTTTATTTATTTATATTCATAGAAGAATCATAATTGGTCCTGTTCACTTGGCCAATGTATACTCTGTCCCATTTCTAAGATGTGAACATTGAATTGTAATGAAATATGTGGAGCGTAAAGCTTGTATTTCTATGCCAGGCACATGATCAAATATTTGTAACATTAAATGGCTTGGATTTATTTAAAATATATTTAAAAATTAATCTCCACTTTCGGCACATAAAAAAAAGGTAATTATGACTATTTTTTACACTTATGACCATTGTAGCATCCCCACGGTCACATGATTTACATTTGGATGCTTGCAGTATCTTGGGGTCATGTGATCATGTTTTTGGCAAACAAAGTCAATGGGAAAACCAGATTCTCTTAACAACCCCCTCTGTCAGACCGCACTCTTTCTCACTCCAGACACTTTACTCATATAGGGAAAGCGATACTTGCAGCATCCATGCCTTTCTTCCTTTCCCCCGGGGAGAAAGAGGACATGGGGAACAGAAAGCTAGGAGAGCGATCGCAAGTGAGCAACCGGGCGACTGGGTTGGGGGTGTGGCCAGCCAGGGGTCGCCACCGGTTTGGCGACCCACGCCAAATAACCACTATCGGTTCGCCTGAGTAGGTGCGAACCGGTTGAATACCACCTCTGATTTGCTGACTAAATCATAAGAGAGCATTAGAAGTAAGCATTGATTCAACATGGCTTTGGCAGGTGGATAGGAATGTCAACTTCTGAAACCAACTCAGGATATATGCATATCATCGACGAGTGTGTCATATGATTCTCAATCTTAATCCAATACCCAAATTTAGAGCTGAAATTCTCTGTCTTTAAAAGATGTCATTACAGAGGTTAGTTTTTAAAAGAAATTAGTGATTCAACTTTCCCACTCCTTCTTCCCTATTAAATAGCTTACTTCCTTTGAATTGTTATGTGTTAAAATTGTTGGGAGGACTGTAATTTCATTTCCATCTTTATATCCGGATAATAGCATAGCTGAAAATAAATTCTCTGGTGTTAGCTAAACCTCAGTTCACTGATATCTATGGAGATTCTCAAAACCTCAGTTCACCGATATCTATGGAGATTCTCAGTCATCCATTCATGGTTGTCCCAAAGGTCCTTTTTTTCAAAAGGCAACTGGATTTTCTTTTTTTTTCCCTGAAGAACTGAAGAAGTTTCTTGGATGAGAAGTGAAACATCTTCAAGAAAAACAAAACAAAGCAAAGAAAACCCAGTTGCCTTTTGAAAAAGGACCTTTGGGTCAGTTCATTGATGATGCAAATTTAAAAGATTAAATCTCATTCTTTAGCATCAATAAACACATTAAGTACTTTCTTTCTCCAAACGAACAGGAAAGGATATGATCCGGCTGTAATTCATTATAATATAAAGAGATAATTTTATGTATTAGTGGCATGGGGAAAATATTACTTTCTCTTGAAGACTAGAGAACTGGCATAACTTTGTAAATCCAAAGTATATCAAATTGGTGTGAAACCTATGATTTCTTGCTGCATCTTACCAATTCATCGTCACAATCATCCTGCACAAGGCCTTCCTCCTCGTCCTCTTCTTCCCCATTTAATGGCTCTTCTGTATTCAGGTCTGCTTCTGATGCTGTATCTTCCTGAGAAATTTCACTTTTGTTTCCATCTGCCTTTTTTCTAACTTCTGCAAAAAAAATCCAAATCGTAAAATACCGATGTGATTTGTGAACCCTGTTTCGTTGGCAGGCTTTATTTGGCTTATCTCAGCATATCTAAATAATCAAGAATCCAAGCTGGAAACTAATTGAATTTTCACCAACTGTCCATGTATGTTGCCACATTGGGAGCATCATGAAAAATTAAAATGGCACCGGGACTCAAATGCGAGGAACATCTTATCAGAAAGAAAAAGAAATTGAAGGGAATATCTCCTGGAGAAATGTCGGCAACGAGTCCTAACAGAACCTATGATCCTGACATCTTCCCAAAGCTGCCAGGAGAAATACCACTTCATTTCTTACCCTTTTATCATTTAATAGGTGCTTATTGCAAACTATAACCTGAGATTAATATCACAGAGTCCAGGTTTAGAGAAAAGCAGTTTCACAACTAATTCTTGGCTTTGTTTACATGACTTGGTTAACATTATTAACAAATCTAGTTAGTTTAATAGTGGCGTAATATTTTTGTGAACCCAGGGCATTTGATTAGTTTATGGTTCAATGCATTATGCAAAACCAGAAAATGGGTTAACTGAAAAAACAAGTTAACCTTGGTGAATGCAGTCCATGAATTAAAACTGGGTATAGTTTGGAAGCAATACAAATAATCAATTGGGGGTTTAGGCTGGATGAAGAAATGAAAAACACTTAGAATATTTCTATTCTGTTTCTTTTTCTATTGTTAAATCTACTACTGCATATAGAAGAGAACAGGCAGAAAAAAAATATCAAGGTGGCTTACTGTCATTTAGATATATAAAATAGAGCAAGGATGGAAAGCCTGTCAGGCTTCCAGATACAACTAGATTGTGGCTCCCTTCATCTGATTAAGATTGATGGAAATTGGAATCCAATCTCTGGAGGATTGCAGCCTATGAATAGGGAAATGGTGTCCTTGAGAGGTTTTGGACTATGTAATCTGCTGAGCTACAGATTCCTATCAGTATCTGCGTCCTTTACTAGTACAACTAACCAATGAAAATATATTCTCAAGGACAAAAAATCAGCAGGGGAACTTCAGAATACTTTTATATTCAGATGGGAAGCCTAACAGTTTTTTGAAACCACAGGTTTCCAAGGCAATTTTGTCTTGTTCTGCTATTACAATCTTTATAATATAGATGCCAGTGAAATATGTCCATAGTTTTGATTGCCTCGAAACAGTCACTTATATTTAATAACACTGATGCAGTTTTACCCAAAATGCCTACAGACAGATTGGATTATAACTCCATTAGTCATCATCCACTTTGGCCCTTGCTGGCTGGATAGGTGCTGTAGTTGAGGACGAAAAAAGCAAAACCCTGTCTAGCTCCTAGGAATGGAACAAGGGCATCACAAAGCTGAATTGTAATTGCAAAAAGTACCAACGGTCGTTTGTCCTGAACCAAGGAGGCTCAGCCAATATTAGGAACCTGGTGCTGACTTGAATTCCTACTGTGTCTTGGTGTTACTGAGGGGACATTTGCAACCAGCCAACTGACCTGTAGGTGTTTTCTGTTGTTCAGCAATCTGCTCCAATCTGCCCAAGAGAGCATCAATGTTGGATTTGATCTGTGTCAGCTCAGTTTTAATTGTCTGAAGTTCACTGCATTTCACTTGGAAGACAAAAGTTAGAAGAACACCTTATTCTTTTGTCTGGTACGAATGAGCAATTTGCTTGAGCAGAGATATAATTATACTTCACATATACCTTTTAGTTGCAGGTCCTGCTTGGCGTCCGTCGCAATAAGGGCTTATTGGGTTCAGTATAGGACAGGGTCTCGTTTGCCTTTCATAGCTGAGGAGAAGACAGGAGAATTTTGGCAGGTACCATTTCTCCCATCAGAGTGCACCATCAATGGGAACAAACTACCAAAACCTAAATGCTAGTGCACAGCTACTTAAGGGTTTGGAAGCCCTGTGCTATATTGACTCTGACAAGATGGTGATATTGTAGGTATCAAAGAATTCCTTTATTAATGCTTAGAACGACCTCCTGCCACACTCTACCAACTTTGGTGATGTACAAGATTTGCAACTCTGAGTCAATAAAAAACAAAACAAAAGAGGAATCTTTCACCTCATCCCTTGAATTTTTTACAAAGAATTCCCCCTTAATTTATAATTTGCATAACTACTTAGAAGTTGATGAAATGATCCTTACAGGTGAACAAACACAAATATATGCATCACATTGAACAGGCCAATGTAGCTACTCCTTTATCTAGGATTCTCCATTACATTATTTTCTTATTTTTGTGCCCATCCTGTCAAGTGGATTTTGAGTTGATGCAGACTGTCTTAAACTCCACCCCCTCCCTCTTGGATTTTTTTAAAATTAACTTCTTTCTTTCTTTCTTTCTTTCTTTCTTTCTTTCTTTCTTTCTTTCTTTCTTTCTTTCTTTCTTTCTTTCTTCCTTCCTTCCTTCCTTCCTTCCTTCCTTCCTTCCTTCCTTCCTTCCTTCCTTCCTTCCTTCCTTCCTTCCTTCCTTCCTTCCTTCCTTTTTGCAAAGCTATATTTCCCGATCCCACTGCTACTTCCTTCTTGTGTCCAGATCAGCTATTTGGGGGCAAATGCCTGCATAAGTTAGCTCTTGCTGTAAGGTGAATGATTGTATCCAGTCTGACATTTACTTCCCAGCCTTCAATTTCCTTTGGCAAAGTTGAGCATCTTCTGTTTTTACTGGAATGTTTTAGTTTCTTAGGAAAGGAGGGAAGTAGTATTTTCCTATTTTTATTTCAAAAAAATCTGGTGCATGAATGATACAGTACAGTTCAAACGAGCTTCATTAGTTGTAGAATTAGTTCAATATTACACCAGAGATGATAATTTGAACATCACCTTTTTTGTAAAAAGCTCAGCCAAGGGCATGTATTCCTTCTTCCAGCTATTTAGTCTTTTGTTATTCAGTGACAGTTTGAATTCAGATGTTTCTGGCTGTAGTTACCAAAATTGTATCCTATTGGCAGCCCGTTTTTGTGGTAAAAAGCACTGACAGAATATTAGCTGAACTGTCTTGCTATGAAGACCAAGCTGGCTCATTGTACTGTGTGTTTAAAATATTTTGTCTTTCACCAAGTACTTGGCTTGATGTATTTTTTTCCTTTCTTCTGTGATGGGTCTGTGTTTATTTTTTAATGTTCCATTTATTTGTTATTGTCATTGTTTATAATATATTTTGATTGTATTTTTACAACTATTCCCTTGAGGGCAGAAAAGTATGGTATTAATAAATAAATAAATAAAAAGCAACTGTTCTATTTATATAGATTCATTTCAATCCACAGGCATGGAGATATCATTATCAGCTCCTCCTATCCTTGCCTATTGTGATCAAATAGCCAGGTTGCCTCTCACTCCATGGTTAGGGGAAATGATGTATATACCCCCTTGAGTATGAAATATATTCCAATCTGCTTAAAGAAACAGTTCGAAGATCTTTTACTAAAAAAAAGCTTTTCCTTGGCCTGGAAGGTCTCTTAATTATGAGCTACTCTCAAATCTTCAATTTGTAGGTAAGATTATTAAGAAAGTGCTACCCTCACAACTTCAGATGCCTTTGCATGAAATTTAACTATTTGGACCTATTTCAGTTGGGTCTTTGTGTGGAAGATGGTACTAAAAATATTTTAGTCATGTAGTTAGCGGACAATCGGAAAGTTAATCAATCTAACTCTACCACTACTTACTACCTGACTCCAAGGAACACTACTCAGTTTTGGTAATGTTTTAAATCAGAGTTTCTCAACCATGGCAACTTTAAGATGTGTTGACTTTAAGAATCTTGCAACTCTCGAGTGTGCCTCCCCACTCCCTAATTTTACCAAAAAGGTCAAGTCAGATATTTTCTCAAATTCCATTCCTGCTCTAGACTCACATTATCTTATCCGACATTGCCTTCACTGTGGTTGTTCCTCCTCTTTGTCAAGTTTATTCTTACATCTCATTACATGTCCACACTCCGGAAATGTAGCTATCTGCTTCACAGGAGAGTCCCACCTTTTCTGTGGTTCCCAAATGGTGGAAAACTCTCTCCAGGGAGATATCAATATTCTTATTTTAATTGTACTGCTTTTACTCTCATATTTGTGTTTTTGTTTTATTGTTATCCTGCAGTAAGACGGGAGGCCAATAAATTTAATAAATAAATAAAATTGTTGTAAGCAGCCTAGGTAATCCTTGACTTATGACCACAATAGAGATTATGGTTGTAAGTCATGATAGTTTTAAAACTTCACAATCTTTTTGGCAGTGGTTGTTAAGTGAATGCAGTGTTCATAAAGAAGCTGCTGTGGTTATTAAGTGAACCAATGGTTTACTACAAGTGCAGTTTTGCTGAAAAATGGCAGTAAACGGAAGCAAAACTGTCATAAAAGATGGTCCTGCAATGGTGGAATGCTGCAAACATTCATAAATATATCCTTGTTGAGAGCCCAAAGTTCAATGATTGGGGTGTGTGTGAACATGAGAACTTTGAAACTGGGTCATATGTAGCCCCAAGATAAGGTATATCACAACTTAAAATGTCTAACTGTATATAAGAAGCAGCTACTGTAATAAATTCAAGAATAAAATAAAAGCAATGTTTTGTAATACATAAACCACTTATCCCTAATTATGTTTGCTGTGTATGTCTGCCCTTGTGCATTTCGTTTCAAAGGCAAGTCTGAAACCAGGATAAACATTACCTCTGCACAGTAGCATGAAACTTACATTTCAATTTGGCGGAGCTGTTCACAAGAGCAGCAGATCTGGCAAAGAGCTTGACCGGGATAGTTGCTTTGACACGTCGTACTAAAGGGATGGTGACTCGTGGCCGCTTCACTGGAACCATCCTGGGTATGGGAGAGATTCTTCCTCGATACTCAAAGAGTCTATACAGAAGCAGAAGAAATGCTTTCCTGTAGCGATTCCAGCCAGATACATTAGCAAATATTTCTGATCAAGAGACGAAAAAGCATTGATGCCCTCTAGAGGGAGCTAAGACTTCATCCATTCCAGCCATCTGTTCTTGCCTGGGCATTAAAGCCCATCAGAGATTACAGCTGATCATTAAACTACTGAGGAGACGCATTGTTCAACCATTATCCTGCAAGTTAATGCTGAAAATTCTCAGAGAAGTTATTTAATAGGTTGCTTTAACAGCAATATTGTTACCGTTAATTCATTTTTAAAAATACTTCAATGTTTCATATTTGAGAATTCCTTAGGTAAATCTCCAGGATATTAGAACAGATCATCCAAGGCAATTATTTTGCTGTCTTATCTTAGCATCTTCCTCTCCCTCACTTGGTGTCTATTCATTCCTTAAAACAGGACACAAAACTTTTTCCTAAGATACAGCCAATAATATTTATACTAAATGACACTCAGGCAAGAAAAATATATACAATTGCTTAATCTATAGCATCTGGATCCTTCTCACCCCTAATTACCAAGGTGTTTTAACAGAGCTAAAGAGGTTGAGATGATGAGAAGTGAAAGATCTATTGAAAAACATGTCTCAGTTTTGTAGAGAGCAAATATCTGGAAGCAGACTGTAATAAAAAAACATATAGATCTGGACTTTGAAGCTGAACTTTAAATGCACCAAGTGTTCTTCTTGGATTCAGCAGAGATTGATTTAGTAACCTCAGGGGAATTTTGTAGTTCCACCTCTATGCTCCATCTGCTACTAGCTCAAAATTTTGCTTTTCGTTCCATGTTAAAAAAAAAACACCCTCTATTGTTGCATTTAAAAAAGTTAAAATAAAGTTCTCATGGCTGATGAAACTCCTGTTTTACTGCAGCTAACTAGTCACTTCTATTTTGATTATTATTATTTTAAAAAACAAAAACAAATGTTAATCTTTGGGAGACAAACTGTATCATACAAATGCTCAGGTATCTTGGTTTTTTCTTAGAAACTGAAAGGAAGAAACAAGACAGCCTCTGGCTTTATTCAGCTGAACTCAGTCCTCTAGAGTAGACAACAAGAGAACTGTCTATATTGCTACCTGCAAAGGGCAATGCAAAAGAACCCAATAGACACCGAACATGCTTGATGCTTTTAGAATGGGGCTGTTGAGTGGCTAGTCAAGGGACAGTGGCAAAATGACAAGCCTGCTATATCTGGGCTGCGAAAGGATGGACATCTCCTTCATGACAGCAAAAAGATTTTTTGGGTAACCCTTCTGGGGTTTTGCCGCTCCAATAAACTCAATCATGAAGTCCTCTGGCAGATAGCATAGTTGGCTGTAATCCTGTTGTTTTGGGGAAATGCAAACCACCAGTGGAAAGTAAATGAAGAAGTCAAGGATTTCTCATGGACATCCATAGAACATTAGCACCGCAGAGGAGCAGTGTCCTTAACAGAAAAATTGTAAGATATTTCTTTAATACCACAGCTGCACATTGGTGTGGAAATTCAAGGCATATGTTTTGATCATTTCATTTCAATCTCTGGATAAGAACACATCTGAAATATCTATCTGGTAATTTGTTAGAGGAATGAAATCCTTATCATGAAAACACACAGAGGGCCATTATATTTCTATCACAGGTTCTAAACCAAGAGCTAGTAAAGTTTATTACAACCAGGCAGTTATCTTTTCAAACTGAAAAAAAAAATGTTTGGAGGTGTCCTACCCTGGCATAGTAATAAGCTAAAATACCCCAAAATATATATGTGTTATGTCTCACTAATTTCTCTAACAGTTACATTTTTATATTGTATAGCTTAATTTTATTTTGACAAAATTGTATCAAAATTGTATAAATTTGCAATTAGTATTTTAACATATTAGAACCCTAAATTAGACAAGATCAAGGATATCCTGTAAAGGGGCTGTAAGTAAACCATATTAAACTCACTGGAACTTACTTCTGCACAGGGTGGTTTAAAGCTTTAGTTTTAAAAATGTAGGTTTTGAAGTTTATATTTTCACTTTTAGCTTTGAACAACTATAGGTAGTCCTCAGCTTACAACTGTAATAGAGCCTGCTGATCATGGTTTGTAAGTCTCGATGGTTATAAACCTCATCACCCATGTGACTGACTCAATTTTATACCTTTCTTGCAGTAGTTGTCAAAACGATCACCACGACATTAAGTGAACCAATGGTTTGTTATTTTTATTTATTTGCATATCACCTTTATTATTTTTACAAATAAGTCAAGGTGGAGAATGTATCCAGCATACCTTCCTCCTCCTATTTTCCCCACAATAACAATCCCTGGCCCACCTTCTAGTCTGGTGCCTTAACTATTAGACCAAACTGGCTATAGAACAGTTTTGCCAAAAACCAGAAGTAAATGCCAGTTTTCAGCAAAAAGTCATAAAATATAGTCACATGGGATGCTGCAAATGGCCATAAATGTAGGCTGGTTGCCAAGCACCCAACATGAAATTATGTGACTGTGGTCAGAACTTTGGAACATTAAGTATTCCTAGGAAGGCATGTTGTAACTTCGAATGTCAGTAAACAACTTGTTGTAAGTCAAGGACTACCACAAGGTTTAAAAAAACCTTTACATCCAAAGAACCAAGAGCAACATATTTAGAAAGTGAAGCAGCCATTTAAATAAAACCATGGCAGGGTAGAAAATGTAAGCAATCCACATTTGCTTTGCACAAGCATTATGAAAGTGTCCCCTTATGTTCACTCTATTTAGAATAAAAGTAAAAAGCAATCAATGTGACAGCACAGTTCTTCTCTTATTTGCTCACCTGTCATAGAAGTCATCTCTGTAGTAATCATAGTCAAAGTCATAGCCACTGCTTTCAAAAATAAAATAAAAAAGAGTTATTACTATGCTTCACCAATTACTTTTTTCAGGCAACTTCTGTGAAATAGCAGAATTCAGTCTCATAGATCTGGAAGGAAACTAGGAATTCTGGATAATATATATTCAGAGAAGCAAAACTACATCACAAAGAACTCAGATTTATTGTTGTGTTTGTTTTAGGACACAACAAGGCATTTGGCAGCATTTGTAGAAAATCATGTAATTGAAAACAACCAACCAATGGATTTTCATTATCGATGTTACAATGATATGCAGTATCTCAACTGGCAAGACTTCATCTGGCTCACATACAATACAAAACATACAAATTGTACAAATATATACTGTGTGCTAGGTGAATCAAGCTCATAATTCACAATCCATGGATTTATGTGTGAACAGAATTATTGCTTGGTTACTAAAAGATAAATGGGTAGCAGATGGGAATTCTGATCTAGCCAAAAAATGGTAGATTGGGATATCACAAGTTCTTTCTTAAAATAGTACCCAATTAGATTGACCCAGATGCAAAAAAGCTAGAAAAGCATTGAATTGGACAGTAGATGTTTATATCTTCCTATAAGTATTACAAATGCAAATACATACATGTTGAACATCTAACAATTGAAAGAAGCTGTGTTTGACAAGGTAGCATAGAGAACACTTGTTTATAAAGCCACGAAGAGTCCAACACTACTAAATGGTTAAAACAATAAGATGTGGCAGCAGAGCTTCCAAAACACAACTCCCACACCTGTTTCAAGGTTGCTGCTTTATAGCCAGTGCTGCCCTGGTGAGGCTGTAGAGAATTTTTGGAGGGGAGGAAGGCAGCACAGGTGCCTGATTTTTTTCTAAGCAGTTTGCTCTTCCATGTTGTGTGTGTATATTTTAGCAATAGCACCTATCAAGAATTGGTTCAGATTCTATAACTACTGTGTCAGTGCCAGTGGGTAACTTAATAGTCACCATTTCTTTTTGTCTTCCAAGAGGGATATTTTATACACAGTAATGAAAGTATATTATTGCAACCCTTCCTAGAAGAAAATTTTAAACAGAAATCCAGCTGGCAAATCATAGAAATTGAAAACTCTGACATTTCCTAGTAAAAAGAAGTGTAGTTAGCAACACATTTGTTGGAAAGGTCAGCTTGAAAGTGAAAATTTTAATTTTGGTTTGACACCTTTGACTTGGTGACACGAACATGACATTTCAGGACAATAAAGCCCAAAAGAGACTTAAAGCTCAGTATCTCGATCAAAGCAAACTCTATAGTTGATGAGTGCAGAGACTCTTCTGTATAAGGCTGTGTTGAATAAAGGAGGACTCAGTTGGTGACTTTAGTGCATTGGGTTCACATATTTTTCCATTATAATTTGGTTTGTTTGGTTTTGGCTTTGGGTATGGAGCAAATTCAGTCAACTCTTATTTCTCCTATAAACCATAGGTAAAGTAGGCTTAGTGTGAACCCAATCATTAACTTTTTACCAGTGGGTGGCTATTACAATAAAATAGGATAGTCTCACAGTTATATCCTGACCTTCTTAGATGGAAGAAATAATATATTATTGGTAGATAGACATAATTGCTTTTAAATTCTATTTCAATTGATCCTAGCAGCAATTTTTTGGGATCTGCAAATGTCTTGAGTCTTCATATGAAATTCCTATTTATACCACCTGTTCATTTATTTTTTTTCAATCAAGAGCTTGAGGAAGGATGCTGATTTTATTCTGAATATATCAGAAGTCCCATCCTGCAATTTCTTTTTGTTCTTTCCAGTTCAGTATTGACTGTACTGAACTGCAGGAGTTTTTAACATTTCAGATAGGTATTGAACTAGAGGCTGCCCTATGTTCTATGTGGTTTCTGGACAGACTATTTATTCTCATTCCTATTTCTTCTAGTTTTTATGAATTTCATATGCTAGAATGCCATAAAATGAGATTGTATATATTTTAAAATTCTGATTTTCTTTATTAATTTGTGACAAACATTTGCAGGCTGTTTATTTAAACATACAATTTGCATAGCATATTTTCCCCGGAAGTAGCTTACTTCAAGCTGTGGTTAGATTATAAAGAAAGGAAAAAATGATTTAGCCTTGTTCTTGCAACATTATTTTTATTGTTAAAAAAAGCTATTCCCCCAGAGCCCCAAATTGGGACCTATTCAAACAAGCATTTACCTTTCATAGACTGTTAAAAATAATAGTGCACAATCTCCCTTGGATTGAGCTCAGTTCCTGATGGTTTAATGGACAACTTTACACAAGTGATTTGCCACAGCCTTTTTCCAGGAAGCTGTTTTGATTTTTTTTGCCTAGCCTACAACCTGTCCCATCCAAGTATTAACTAAATTTGATTTTGCTTGGCTGTTCTGAGATCAACCACTTTCCGCTATATGTTGTAAACTGGCATACATTCTTCCGATTTTATTCTATATTCTAATCAAATATAATGAACAGAAATTGAAAATAACTGTTCAAATGATATATAAAGTTGCATTCATGTTAGCTGTAATATCCAACTTTTATTATATACATATTTGTAGGTTATTGTGTACCTGCAGGCACACACACACATAATTATTCGTCAAGGTCATACAACATGCTTAGCAAGGTCAGTTAAAGATGTAGCAACTACATTTGCATAAAATACTAATCACTTTATTAACTTTTAGATATTTTTCCTCTGATATGGTGTCTTGTGTAAAGATAGCCCTCTTTTTTCATTGTTTACTATACACAATGGCTAAGTTCATGAATAAAACTAAACCAGAACATTTAATAATAATGGCTTGTGAACAAATCATGCAGATTTGATTGATTTAATTCAGTAACCCCAGCTTCACTGTGTTTCTGTGTTAACACAGTATTATAAAAAGTCAAGGGAAGAAACGGGAAACATTTAAAGGCCCTGATCAAGCCAAACCACTTCTCCTCCAGCATGCCAAGTTCAAATGCCAGAATCTTCACAGATAACATTAACATACACGGAGACATGATATAACATCTGTATGTTTCAACTCTGAAAGGTTCAACAATATAGATTGTGTATGTGTGTACATTTCCGATAGTCTATATATCCCTTCTTGTAGCAGTGCTAAGTGCTAGGATCTAGATACTTCCTAAAATTAATAACATTGTGATAGTCATATAATGTGCAATGGCTCATGAGTTCAATTCCTGAGTTGAGGCTTGAAACCGATAAAATAAGACCTAGCTACCAAAGCATGACAAGTCCCAATAAGGATAAAAATGATCACGTACTGACTTCTGTTGGTCTGTGTAATTTTTTTTCAGATAATAGGTTTATTCATATTTTCAAGAAGAAGACATTCCTTCCTCCAAGTTGCTCATTTAAACCATTGGGAAATATCAGAGTGCGTTAGAGCCCTCGCAGATTGCTATAGGTACATAGGTCTAAAGATCATCTGTTAAGAAGACCAAAAGCATCTTGCAGGCTATAAGTTGCTTGTTTGTTATTCTTAGTGTTCAAATTCCTTTCCAGACAAGTCAGATGGGGTTTTTTCATTGTTATAACAAAGACAATCATGCCCCAAAATATCCTGTATTATATTTCCAGAGACTGCTATGCCATATTTGTTCAGCTGTTCTTTCTCCATGCTATTCGCTTATTTTAAGGTTTTGTACAACTTTGCACGCAAACTTCAACATAGCCTCAAAATTTTCTTTCCAAGTAAAACTCCCCCTGCAAGTGATATTTCACGGCAGTCATCTAGATGCTCAAAAGAGACTCTACATGAATGTTGCACATGCCAGGGCAAAATGCAAGGCAGAAAAATAAATGAGCAATTTTGTTCATTTCTTTAAATCACATTATTTTAACAATGTGGACTAAGGTAATATCTCAAGGGAGTACTTTACACAGCCTAATTTATCTACCGTCTATTTACCTCAGTCCTTCTGTAGGGCAATAGGGCCTTCCCATCCAGGCTAGCGAGACTTGCATTCATTTCCAAAGTTAAGGCCTGCTTTAGAAGCTGCCCCCACTATTAAGTCTATAAGCAGGAGGGTATTACTAAAGGAAAGAAGGTCTAGGTCTTGAGATAGCCACAAATAATTGCTGCTATTTATTCTTTTAAGTCTTCAATAGTTGAAATGACTAAGAAATGATCTCCCCCTTTTTTTTTCTGAGCTCTGAATAAGATTCCTGCTCTATGATGCTGATGCTTGTGGGGAGGGGGCATCTCCTTTCTTGTTAACTACCATTTGACAAATAAGATAGAACAGGGGTCTCCAACCTTGGGAACTTTAAGACTTGTGGACTTCAACTCCCAGAGTTCCTCAGCCAGCAAAGCGAACTCTGGGAGTTGAAGTCTGTTCTGTACAAAGAATTAACATACTTGCAAACCCCGCGCTGCGATTGGCTAAAGCGCGCGGCAACCGGATTGGTCGGGCAAGCCGCCCGGATTGGTCCGTTAAGAATCTCCCGCTATTGGTCGAGCCAAGAGCGGGAGATTCGAAACGATGTCATTGGCCGCGGGCCGCCGCGGCTTGGAAATAAAAGCCGGGGTTTTTCCTTCTTTTCCCCAAGCATGTACTGGAGCACAATAAAGAGCTGAACTTTGTCACTGACTCCGAGCTTCCTTCCTGCGCCGGACACGACACTGGCGACGAAGGTGGGATACAAGAAGGAACCACCAAGCACGTGTCCGGAGGAAGACAAAGACCAACACGATGGCCGGCCTCACTCCGCCCGCACAATTCAACCCGACTACCGAGGACTGGGAATCGTACGCTGATCGTTTCCAGATGTACCTCGAGAGTAACAACTTGAAGGATGCCAACGGAAACAAGAAAAGGGCTGTTTTCCTGACACACTGCGGGCCCGCAGTGTTCAAAATGGCGAAAGCCCTCGCCAAACCCGCCGACGTAAAGACGATGGACTGGGCCGACCTTGCGCCATTGCTAAAAAACCACTACGCTCCTACCGTGCCCATCCTCATCCGACGAGATGAATTCTACCGGCG